TAGGGCTCAAGGGTAACAAGAGAAATATTGAAACTTTCTAGTCATGAGTTCCAGTGTGGTTGCCTGTGCTGTCCTTGGCAAACAGAGGCTATCCTTAGGTTGCTGCCCAGATTGGAATGCTGCTTGAAATATTAAAAATGGCTGTACCACTTGTAAATATTCAAAATGGGCTCACCATTAGGGCAATCTGCAGCTCCGTTTGTCTCCTTATTCACTGTTTTCATTCAGGTTCTTCTCCTAGTTGGTATTTAATTCACTTCTTTATCCTTCTCTTCAAAGCTCAGGGTTCCAGGATTGCCTTCTGTATCTGTTTCAATTGGTTCCTCATTTCATTGTTGCAGAGGGTCTATGTAGCTTGTCTGCCTATCCTGCCATTTTGCCAGAAGTCCTGAATCACATCTTTTAATTCACTCTGCTAATTCCTCTTTTCCACCAGCTGCCTGCCAGTTTGTTGTACTGTGGTGGCTTGCATGTTACTATGATGTTGGAACCTGTATTACGGGTATTTCAAATATCAGTAGGGTAACTCATGGTGGACAGGTTTCAGTGGCGCTTCTAGCCTAAGACAGGCTAGGAAGAAAGGCCCAACAATCTCCTTCTGAAAACTAGTCAGTGAATACCCTATAGATTGCAACAAAACAGTCTGACTTGCTTACTTTGAATATGTCATCAGAAGGAACAATTGCCAGAGGATAGCATCATGTTTGGCAAAGCAGAGGGCCAAAGATGGAAAATCCAGGAGATCCTTGGTATGATAGAATGACACAGTAGCCCCAGTGATGGAGTCAGATTTGTCAGTGATTATGAGGATGACACCGGAAGAGGCAGCACTTTATTCTGTTGTCCATGGGGTTGCCGTGAGTTAAAGCTGACTTGACAGCAGCTAAGAGTAACAATCATCTCTCTTTTAACTAAGACCATTTTCATTTAACACAATTATTGATATGTTAGGAATTAAATGTCATTTTATTTATTTTTTTCTTCTTTACTGATTTCCTTGGGTTATCTCAACATTTTTCAGAATTTCATTTTAGTTTATTTATAGCATTTCTGAGTGTATCTCTCTGTACAACTCTTAGTGGCTGCTATAGATACTACATTTTATAAACATAACTATCAAAGTCTACTGGTGTCATTATTTTACTGGTTTAAGTAAATTTGGAAGTCTTGCCCCCTTTACTTCCCTCTTCCACCACCTCCCATTTATAACTTCTCCATATATTTAGAACCACATCAGAGAGTGTTATAATTTTTACTTCAACTGTCAAATATTTCAAAAACTTGAGTAGAAGAAAAGTCTATTGTATCTACCCATGATTTTGCTTACCGTGCTTTCTTTCTTGCTGATGTTTCAAGGTTCCTTCTTTTACCATTTTCTTTTTCTTTACAGACCTTCATTCCCTAAGGCATTCTTTTAGAGCACGTATATGGTGACATAGTCTCTTAGCTTTTCTTCATCTGAGAATGTCTTGAATTCCCCTTCACATCTGAGGGATATTTTCTTTATGTATAGGATTCTGAGCTCACAGTTTGTTTCTTTTAGCATTTGAAAAAATATTGTCACTTTTTTCCTTATCTCCATAGTTTCTAGTAAGAAATCCACTTTCATTCAAATTGTTTCTCCCTTATAGGTAAGATCTCATTTCTCTCATTGTTTTCAGAATTTTTTCTTTACCTTTATTTTTCAGAAATTTGATGATGATGTGGTTGGTGTGGATTTCTTTGGGTTTATTTTGTTTGGAATCCACCTACCTTCTTGAATCTATAGGTTTACTATGTTTCTTGCCAAATCTAGAAAGTTTTTAGCCAGCAGTTCTCTAGGACTTTGTAAGGTCTGCTCTCGTTCTCCTCTCCTTCTGGGACACCAATGATGTGAATGTTAGATCTTATGATATACTCACACGGGTCCCTTAGACTCTGTTCATTTATTATCAGTCTGTTTTCTCTCTGTTGTTCTAACTGGGTAATTTCTATTGTTCTATCTTCAGTTCCCTGAGTCTTAGCTTTGTCTCCTCCATTACGCTGTTAAGGTAATCCACTGAACTTTTTATTTCAGTTACTGTGTTTACCTTTTCTAAAATTTCTATTTTGTTCTTTTTATCTTCTATTTCTTGGCTGAGACTTTCTAATTTTCTTACTTGATTCAAACATTTTCATAATTGCTCATTCAGGCACTTTTATAATAGTTGCTTTACAATCCTTGTCAGATAATCCTAACATCTCTATCATGGTATTGGCATTCATTGATTAACTGTTCTTATTAACTTGAGATCTTCCTGGTTCTTGGTATGACGAGTAATTTTTGACTGAAAACAACATTTCTGTATCACGTTGTAAGACTCTGGATCTTATTTAAACTTTCCAATTTAAGTGCCTTCTTTTGGATACTGTTCCAGAGGGGAAGAGGGGTACCTCTCTGTTACTGTCAGATAAAGGTACAAGTCCAAGTTTCCCTCAATTTTGACTGATCCCTGAGTGAGAGGCTCCTTATTACTGCTGGGTGGGGGTTGGAGTTCTAGCTGCCCACATGGTCTCCATTGACAACATGGTAGGTCCTACCTCACTACTGCTGGCAGTGGTTAAAGTCCTGACTCTACACTAGGTCTCCTCTGATACCATCCCGAGGGGCAGGGGTGATATTGCCTTTGTTACTGTTGGGTGGGAATAGAAATCCAGGCTCTGTACATGGTCTCCACTGACATTGTAGGCAGGACTGGAGAGAGGCTTGTTACTTGTCAATGTGGATGAAATTTCTGGCTTCCTACCTGCTCATTTCTGATATCACCTCAGAGGGGCCATTGGAGGTCTGGTGAAGGAAGAAGTCTAAGTTAACCACTCAGCCTTTTCTGGCATGGCTAGGGTGGGGATATAAAGTTTTTCTGTGATGTGTGGCTGGAGTAATGTAGTTATGGATTAAAAGTTTTCTAATTTCCTAAGTGGCTGCTTTCCTGGTCTTTGCTGAGAGAGAGTAGACTTTTGTTGGGGCTTTTTTTTTTTTTTTTTTTGACTGCATCTGTTGGTGTTTCTGAGTTGCAGCTTATTTAGTGCCATGTCTGGAATATATGAAGGTAAAACAAAAAACAAGGAACTTAACACCATGTCATTTCCTTGGGTACTGAGGTTCTTAGGGAGTCTGCCTTCACTTCTCTGTTTTTAAAGTACTCTTATGTTTGTTTTCTATCATACAGGGTTTTAAAAAATTATTACTATTATTGGATTTCTTGGAAGGAAGGTTGGGCAATCTACTTCCATAGTGATACCACCTCGGAAACCCAAGGAGGGTTCGCTATGAGTTGGCACATAACAACAACAATTATTGGATTTAGCAGGATGAATAGAGAAAAGTACATCTACTCCACCTTCCTAGAAGTGGAACTAGAGACACCAGTTTTCAAAGTCATAAAAGTCTCTGTTTTGCAACTAAAGTTTCTTTTAAATGGATAATGAAGTCCCAAAAAGGAAGGACTTAATTTGGTGGCTTGCAATAAATGAAGTACATGAAAATCACTGCATGCAACATTATTACACAGAAGGATCTTTCTCCACTTTCTTCAGTATAATCTGCAAAAGTTGGAACCTGTGTAAGGCAGAAACCTGTTAGAGAAGGAAAACACAAATATTTTCCACCAAACAGAGAGTGATACTGTGAGAGCCAGTACCTGATGGGATTGCTTTGTTTTTCCAGGTCTTGCAAGTTTTCCATTTTTGACAAGGTGCAGTCACCACTTTTCTATTGCTCTCTGTTCAGTGGAAAATATTATGAGTTTTCCTTTTCTGACAGGTTTCCAGCTTACACAGGTTCTGCTTTCACAGGTTTTACTGCATAAAGTATCATTTGTAACAATAAAGATGCAGACCTATTGTTTTATTTTTGCAAGGGAAAAGTAAATTCCCAAACCTACTGCTAACTCCCTGGGTACCTCACGGAGTTGTTCCACCAGTTCTTTTTCTTTTCTCATCTGTTCCATTTTCTTCTGAATTGTAAACTGTGGGTCTATAGATTCCAAATTTCTCTGAGGTCTTAAAAATACTGTAATATAAAGATTTGCCCTTGGAAAAATAAAATATATGTAAGTTTATTTTATTTTTACATATGTATTTCCTCATATTTCATTTAACCTCTGGTTAGCAGCCAAACGCTATACTCACAATACCACCAGAGGTCCTTGGCATATGGCAGCAGTCAATAAAATTTGCTTGTGAAATGTGGAGATTTAGCATGAGCTCAACCTTGTACGTATGTAACAATTCATAATGTGCTTCTTTTAATAACTAACACCTAGGACTTCTTCCTTGGTGATTAAGGAGTTCAAACCCACCAGCCACTCTGTGGAAGGAAGACTGGTTAATCTACTTCCATAAAGATTTACCGCCTTGGAAACCCAATGGGGGCCGCTATGAGTCAGAATCGACTCAATAGTAATGTTTAATTTTTGGTTTAGTTTACTGTAATCTGAATGAGCTCTGGTGGCATAATATCAAAGCACTGTGTTGTTAACCAAAAGGCCAATGGTTTGAACCCACCAGCTGCCCCGTGGAAGAAAGATGAAGCAGTGTGCTTCTTAAAAGATTTACAGCTTTGGAAACCCTATGGGGCAGTTCTACTCTGCCCTATCGAGTCAGTAGGAGTTGGAATTGAGTCGATGGTAGTAGGTTTGGTTTTAATGAGTTTAATGGGTTTCCGAGGCAGTATCACTGCAGAAGCAGATTTCCCAACCTTCCTTCTGAGGAGTGGCTGGTGGGTTTGAACCACCAGCCTTCTGGTTAGCAGTCAAATGCCTTAGGCACTATGCCACCAGAGCTATTTTTTTTTGATAGATGAAGAAACTGAAACTCAGGTATGAGAAATGACTTGCCCAATATCAAACAATCAGTAAGTGACCTAGCTAGATTTTAAATTAGGTCTGTAGACAATGCTTCAAAGTCTCTTTTTCAAAAAACAAAGACTTATGTTTCAATCCGGAAAATTATTATTCAGTGAGATAATATTTCTTGGGTACCTCACGGAGTTGTTCCACCAGTTCTTTTTCTTCCCTCATCTGTTCCATTTTCCTCCGAATTGTAAACTGTGGGTCTATAGATTCCAAATTCCTCTGAGGTCTTAAAAATACTGTAATATAAGGAAAAAAAAGAGGCTTTATGTAGTACCTTCTACAGGTTGTTGTATACAATTACTCTTTTTTAAATGAAAGAATTAGTTTCTTTATTCATCCCAAATAATTCATATTATAACTCACAGAAACAAAGAAATTCCTACTTGACATGGAAAACCTGATTAGAGATTTCTAAAGGAGACTATCAATCAAGAAGGGAGTGCGTCAGGGTTGTATTCTTTCTCCACACTTATTCAATCTATATGCTGAGCAAATAATCCGAGAAGCTGGACTATATGAAGAAAAATGTGGTATCAGGATTGGAGGAAGAATCATTAACAACCTGAGATATGCAGACGATACAACTTTGCTTGCTGAAAGTGAGGATGACTTAAGGCACCTACTGATGAAGGTTGAAGAATACAGTCTGCAGTATGGATTACATCTCAACATAAAGAAAACAAAAATCCTCACAACTGGACCAATGAGCAGCATCACAATCAATGGAGAGAAGATTGAGGTTGTCAAGGAATTCACATTGCTTGGTTCTACAATCGATGCCAACGGAAGCAGCAGTCAGGACATTAGACGACGTGTAGCATTGGGAAAGTCAACTGCGAAGGAACTGTTTCAAGTGCTGAGGAGCAAGGATATCTCCTTGAGGACTAAGGTGCGCCTGACACAAGCCATGATATTTCCAATCACCTTGTATGCATGTGAGAGCTGGACAATGAATAGGGAAGACCGAAGAAGAGTTGATGCTTTTGAGTTGTGGTGCTGGCGAAGAATGCTGAAAGTACCATGGACTGCTAAAAGAACTAACAGATCTGTCCTGGAGGAAGTGCAGCCAGAATGCTCCTTGGAAGCAAGAATGGCCAGACTTCGTCTCACCTATTTTGGTCATGTTGTAAGAAGGGACCATTCCCTGGAGAAGGATGTCATGCTTGGTAGGGTGGAGGGTCGACGAAAGAGGGGGAGGCCTTCAACAAGATGGATTGATACGGTGGCTGCGATGATGGGCTCGAGTATAGCAGGGATTGTGGGGCTGGTGCGGGATCGGGCAGTGTTTCGTTCTGCTGTGCATGGGGTCGCTATGAGTCGGAAACGACTCGACGGCACTTAACAACAACAACAACAAAAGGAGACTATGGAGTGTCACTGTGTGGTGCAAACGGTTAACACGCTCAACTACTAGCCAAAAGGTTGGAGGTTCGAGTCTACCCAGGGGTGCCTTGGATGAAAGGCCTGGTGATCTGCTTCTGAAAAATCAGCCACTGTGGGGCACAGTTCTACTCTGACACACAGGGAGGCAGCAAGAGTCAGAATCTCAGAATCAACGCAACAGCGACCTATTAATAAAGACTGTATTTTACGTTATTTACATTTAATTTCAACAACAACAACAATATTTAAGTTAAGGAGCTCTGATGGCGCAGTGACTAAGGCATTTGACTGCTAACCAGAAGGTTGGTGGTTCAAACCCACCAGCCACTCCACGGAAGGAAGACAGGGCAATTTACTTCCATAAAGATTTACCACCTCAGAAACCCAGTGGGGGTTGCTATAAGTCAGAATCAACTCAATGGCAGTGAGTTTGTTTTTCTTTATATTTAAATTATACTGACTGTGTACACTAACAAGCTGTGTTTTTCGGTGATAATAAACTGGATACAGAGGAGGGTTTGGATCCTCATTAGAACTGTTCCAGGCCCCTTCTCTGACCACTGGCGCTCCTCTTCATGCTTTCATTCTACGTTTTCATGTCCACACATGTTTCATAAGCCTTTCATTAAATTCAGATAATTTGTTTTATATAAGAAGACTCCAGAATTTCTTTTGTGTTAAAAATATACACAGATTGTTTTTGTTGGCATGACATTTCTCATATGCCTGGGTTAAGACTAAGTGATGATACCCAGTATTGCGTTTTTAATTGTGGAATGGAAAATTCTGCCTTCTGTCATGTTACTAGGAGCTCTGGTGGTACAACGCTTAAGACATCTGACTGCTAACCAGAAGGTTGGCAGTTCAAACCCACCAGCTGCTCTGTGGAAGGAAGAGGGGGAAATCTACTTCCATAAAGATTTACTGCCTTAGAAATCCAAGGGGGGGTTGGCTCTGAGTCAGAATTTACTCAATGGCAGTGGGCCTGGTGTTTTTGGTTATCATGTTACTGACAATGTATCCAAAAAGTTAGGTCTTTTAGAAATTAACATAGACTCCTTTCAGAAGGGTTGGCAAGATCAGAGACAGTTTAAGAAATCATCATTGGCTCCAGATCCTTAAAAGTTACATGAACCGTAATTAACAGCAGTTCTTCTGAAAGGAAGACTAAGCCATCTGCACCAGAGAAAATGGATACCTCAAAACCTGGGAAGGATAACATATTCTAAAGACCAGTCAACAAGATACACAATATTTTATATATAGTAGAGTGCTAACACAGAAGCTCTGGTAGCATAGTGGCTAAAGCACTTGACTGCTAACCAGAAGGCTGGCGGTTCAAACCCACCACCCACTCCTTGGAAGGAAGGTTGGGCAATCCTACTTCCGTAGTGATACTGCCTTGGAAACCCAAGGAGGGGTCGCTATGAGTCGGGGCCGCTTGATGGCACATAACAACAACAACAGAGTGCTAACAGCAAAGATCTTCATTTTTTACTGTGATGCAAGGTCCAGAGCTGATGCACACTGGAATTTTTATCTCCCTTGAGGTTTTTATTCTATTAAGACTGTCAATTTCCCATGCACACAGGAAGGGCAAAGGAGCCGTTTTGAGCCATAGGTGTCTTTTGGTTCCTCTGGCCTGTGTACCTTAAGAGTGCCTGTGTGCTGGGGGAAGCGAGGAAAGTCCTAACATTGTGGACAGAGAACTATAGCTTTAGAAATAAAACCACATAGAAAGATGCCTCGGCATACTGGAGCTCTAATAGTTTCAATCACCACAATTTAAAAAATGTAGAATGAGAAGATGATGTAATTTTTATTCTATCTTGATGAACATTTCCTAATGTGCTACTTCGGAGACCTTTCAATGTACTGGATTTTTAAAAATTAAATCTGGTTTACAAATATAATACTTTGAAGAAAAAGATTTGTTTGTACACCATATAATCAATTATCTTCACTTGTTGTTGTGTGCCGTCAGTTTAATCTCACTTTACTCTTTTGAACCAGATCACTTTAATACATGACTTGTACAGCTATACCTCATTTATTGTGCTTCATTTTATTGAGCTCTACAGATAATGTGCAGGTTTATTTATTTTTATTTACCAATTTAAAATTCGTGACAACCCTGAAGCAAGCAAGTTCATTGGTGCCATTTTTCCAACAGTGTGTGCTCACTCTGGGTCTCTGTGTCATATTTTGGTAATTCTCAAAATATTTCAAACTTGTTCATAATGCTAGTGCACACTTGAAAAACTACAATATAGGGTTAACATAACTTATATGCACTGGGAAACCAAAAAAATGGTGTGACTTGCTTTATTGCAATATTTACTTTATTGTGTTAGTTTGGAATTGAACCTGCAATATCTTTGCCGTGTGCCTGTACTATAGCTCTCACACGTCCATATTTTCTTCTTCAGTTCATTCTAGGCTACTTGTATCAGCACTCTGTGCCATATGGAAGATTACAAAAAGGAAGCATCTGAACAAACCCGACTTACAGTTGTTTTGTGTTGTGTTAGGTACCGCTGAGTTGGTTCCGACTCATAGTGATCCTAAGTACAACAGAATGAGACACTGCCCACTCTCGTCCTATCCTCACAACTGTTACTGTATTTGAGCCCAGTGTTGCTACCATTGTCTCAATTCACTTCAATGAGGATCATCTTTTTCACTGACCCTCTAGTTTACCAAGCATGACTAGTCCCCCAGATAACAAAGTAAATGAGATAAAAATCTCACCATCCTTGTGTCTACATTCTGCCTGTACTTCTTCTGAAACAGATTTGTTAGTTCTTCTGATAGTCCATGGTATATTTAATATTCTTTGACAACACCATTATTCAAATGCATCAATTCTTCTCTGGTCTTCCTTATCTATTGTCCAGCTTTTGCATACCTATGAGGTGACTGAAAGTACCATGGCTTGGGTCAGATGCACCTTAAAATGTCAAAGTGACATTTTTGCTCTTTAATACTTTAAAGAAATGACTTATAGTTAAGAACAAGCAAATGGATAAAGAGAGTGATGTAATGCATGTTAACACCTTCTGGAACCTCTGCTGCAAGCCCACTTGGGGATTCACAGGCCAAAAGAGTCAAAGGCATATTTCAGAAGGGCTGTCATCCTGGCCCACAAATCCGGACCCCACAAGAAGTGAGACTGACTGCTTCAAGCAAGGTCAGTAAAGGAAGGAAGACAGGGCGACAAAGCAGTAGAAGATGAAAAGCTCACAGAGTAGGGGGAAATAAGGAAAAGTGACATATTAAGAAGTATGGTAGGAATTGGAGAATGCATTAGACTTGCTTTAACAGCATAAGGAGTTCCTGGGCAGCACAAATAATTAAGTGCTCAACTGAAAGACTGGCAGTTGGAATTCACTCAGAGGTGCCTTGCAAGAAAGGCCTGGCAATCTACTTCTCCAAAATATCAACCACTGAAAACACTGTGGCGCACAGTTCTACTCTGACACACAGGTCACGATGAGTCAGAGTCAACAGCAACTGCTTTCTTTTTTTAATACCATATAGAGCTACACAAAAACTAGTCATTTAAGAGTAGCAACCAGAAGGTATATATAAAACCAAAAAAATAAACTCACAGCCATTGAGTTGATTCTGACTCACAATGATTCCCTTTGGATTTCCAAGGTGATAAATCTTTATAGAAGTGGATTGCCCCGTCTTAATTCCATGGAACAGCTGGTGGGTCTGAATGGCCATCCTTCCAGTTAGCAGTCAAATGTCTTAGGCACTATGCCACCAGAGCTCCTTAGAAAGTATATATATCACAGTGTAAAATCTAGAATGACTCCACACCCCCAAAGAAAAGAAGTAAACTGAA